GAGAAGTTTTCGCTGCGGCAACCTCTTCACCACCTTCCAGGTGAGTTGTTCAGTGCCCCGGCCACGTAGGGCGGCATACCGGCGGCTGTGCGCCTACGACGCCCGCCAGGTGTTCGGCGATTTGTCTGCCCGGCCCAACGATGGACTCGGAAGACGAGGAGGCGCTTGCGGCGTTGCTGGAGGAGGAAGCCGAAGCTGATGTCTAGGAGGAGGAGCATCTCATGGTCCTCGTCGCCCTCGCCGGCCTGCTCGCGAGCAATGAAAAGCCGTGGCAAGGTGGCTCGGCGCCGGGGCGGCTGAAAGCAAAGAACCGACATCGTCTGGAAGGCTACTGCATGCTCTACACCGACTACTTCACCGATGCTCCATTGCACGGGGAGAAAACATTTCGGCGTCGTTATCGGATGAGCCGAAAGCTTTTCCTCGAGATTGTGAATTCCACCCGGGAGTTCGACAGCTACTTGAAGTGAAGAAGGATTGCACCGACGCACTTGGATTCGCCTCAATCCAGAATTGCACGACAGCTATGAGGATGCTTGCATATGGAGCTTCTGGTGATTCACTCGATGACTATGGGCACATGGCCGAGTCCACGACCATTGAGTGTTTCTACAAGTTCTGCAGGGCAATGGTGGCAGTGTTTGGACCGTAATACTTGCGATCACCCAATGCTGAAGATACTGCTCGGATCCTAGCACAGAGTGCGGCAAGAGGATTTCCTGGGATGTTTGAAAGCATCGACTGCATGCATTAAAAATGGAAGAACTATCCATTTGCTTGGCAGGGGATGTATAAAGGTGCCAAAGGCGGTTGCAGTGTGGTACTTGAGGCGGTGGCCACACAGAACCTCTGGATTTGGCACTCTTTCTTTGGGATGCTAGGAACTCACAATGACATCAACGTCCTACAGTGCTCCCCTGTCTTTGCCAAGCTTGTTGAAGGTCATTCTTCTCCGGTGAACTTCGAGGTCAATGGGCGGCACTACAACAAAGGGTACTACCTAGCTGATGACATCTATCCGAGATGGTCTACATTTGTGAAGACTATCTCAAACCCTACGCCAGGAGGCAAGAACTCACACTTTGCGAAGCTTCAGAAGGCTTGCAGGAAGGATGCCGAGCGGGCATTTGGTGTGCTCCAATCTTGATTTGTTGTTGTCCGGTACCCTGCTCAGACCTGGTCGAAAGATCACATGTGGGAGATCATGACTTGTTGTGTCATCTTGCACAACATGATCATTGAGAGCGAGCAGGAAGAGCCAGTGTTTGACATTGTACCATATTACAGGCAGGGTCCTCTTGCGCAAGTTGATTACCAGCTACCAGCAACCTGGACTATCTTCCTCAATATGCGCCAGGAGATCCGAGACTCACAGGTGCATCAACAACTGCAGCACGATCTGGTGGAGTACCTATGGAGACTCAAGGGCAACGCCTAGCTCGATGTGTGATGAAATAAGAGTTTTCATTTGTTGAGCTTAATTTGTATTGAATTATTTACCCAACAACGGCGAACAATGGCCAATTTGCGCCGATATCGGGCCGTTTTGTCGCTGAAACTGGGCCGAAAAGCAGGCGCTTTGCAAAACAGATGGGCCGATATCGGTGCTTGGGGACGACCTGGGGGGCGGCGACTGGGAACCCAATTGTCCCCAGCGCCGATTTTTGCGCCGGCTCGCCCCCAGGCGACGATTTTCAGGCCTCCTGGGGGGGGGGGCAACTGCTGGAGATGCTCTTAGACGCCACCAAAGGCCCTGGGTACCGGTGCAACTGCTGGAAGGGATACGGCGGTAACCCCTACCTCGATGGTGGATGCCAAGGTATACGTCCCGATTCCTGAGTTCTGACACGAGCCACAAAATACCCGCAAAAACTAATGCTGAAATCTTGTCTTCTATTACAACAATTGTGATTTGTCTAAACAAATGTTGAAGTTGCCTTGCA